CTTGATTGCCTAAACTCTTCGGTATAATCTGGCTCATCAGTGTACTCTGGTTGCTCTGTCCCAACTTCGATTTCAGTATCGGGAGATGACTGCTCAATTTCATCAGTGTAGTTTGGTAGAGTAGACCTTTCTGAGCAACCGGATTCGTCGCTTTCGTCACTGTGATCATGCGGTGATGAATCATTGTAGTCGTCTTTTATATTTCCAGAGGACTCGTCCGAAGTTTCAGCGCTACGGCGAAACTGTGGTGCACTGAGCGCCAAACAAACAAACGCCAGAAGTAGTACGAGTTGTTTCATCCTGAAAACAAATCAGTAGGGCCAAATTTTATTTTCGACTTAATAATAATACCGGCGAATGTCAGCAATTAGTTAAATTCCGGAAGTAATGTGCCATAATTCGTTTTTCAGAGAATCTTTCTGCTTAAATCCACGGTTTTACTAAGTGAACCACTAAGTAATAGTGTAAAAATATTAGTAACTCTACGACATATCTTTCTTTCGAAAATTTAATATTATCATTGGTTTCCTGGAATTTACGGCCACTGAATGGAGAAAGTGTAGGATGAATTACGTTGCTCATGTTGGATTTGTTATGGGAAGCTGTGCTATTGTACATCTGTGAGAAGCTCATTTTGTGCAATTTTTCCGAGTACAAATGAACAGGTGTGTAATGATATAAACTGTCCCTCTAAAAGATGTTGAAGTTTGGGATTTCAGATTTCAGAACAGCAATTTCGACAAATTTACTTTTATGAATTCGGACTCGGACGTGCAGCGCCAACGAGTTGAATCATTGAGAAAGTATGGAGCCAAGAAAGTGTTGACGAATTCACATTGCAACGACATTGGTTCCTAAAATCTTCTCGTGGCGAATTCGACGTTGAAGGTGAGGAAGGTCGAGAAAGTCTTTTAGCTATTGACGACGATGAATTGAAGGCTTTTATCTAAGCAGATGCATGCACAACTGTTAGAGAATTTTCGGAAAAACTGGGTATAAGCAGCTCAACTGTTTCGGAGCATCCAAGAAAATTAAAAATTCAAGGTAGCTGGACTAATAGATAGAATATATTTCACACAGACTGAACGACAATCCAAGAATTTGCAGTTTTGAGGTATTGTTCGAACTTCTTCTGTACAACCACAGCGGTTAGTTTTTCAACCAAATTGTGGCAAACTGAGCTCCTATACCATGCCTCATCCACAATACTCGCCGCACTTTTGGGCCAAGGACGAGATGTCTACCGACGACTTTACCGTTCCCGAAAGTCCAAATTTTGTGCTACCAATGTAAACAGAAGGACTTGTCATTAGAAAAAATATGTAGGCTCTAACGATCCTTATTTCTTTAATAAGAGTTACACTTATTGATGCTATTTCGAAAAAAAACGATTAAATCCGGTGTTAATGTCTCAAGAACCTTATAAAATCACAGCAGTACGAAAGGTGGCCAGTAATTGAAAATAAGAACGATGGAGAGTTGAATGACTTGTAACCACAAACACAAATCGCCTGAGAGGCAACTATCGGATTTCCCACTTGAGTAATACTTTAGTGGTTAGTCATGATTGTTCTAAGAGTTCCAACATTGACCAATTAGCCTGGTCTCATCCCATCAGCAAAAGCAGTCACCTAAATTTGTGGATAGGTATTCATATGATTTTATACCTAGGTAAAGGTAATGGAAAATCGAATTGCATTTGACTTACAGATAATTGTATAAGAAAAAAAGTATTTATTTTGGTAGTGAAATACTATACCTAGAATGCTGTTTGGCAGTAAAGAAGAAGATTTTTGCTTAAACGCAAAAATGTTCATCGTGCTTACTTTAACTGTACAAGGAGCGATAGCCGAACTGGTCGTAGTAAATGCTACGAATCGGTACCTTTAAAGGCAACATCGTTTGAATACGGGACAGGTGTGACTGTTTTCCCCGTAATTTTGTATGCTTGCCTCTAGTTCAACACCAATGAGCGATTTAGACCACGGCAAAATAAATGATTGCTTGACCCAAAGGAGTGACATTTTCCAGGATTTCAAAACAATTGTTGCTTTCCTTACTGACAGAAGTAAAACGTATTTTCGTACTTATGGATTGAAATGGAGTCGTGGACGCTATCGAATATTTCAGTCTTTCAGAATATCATCGTTTAACATTTAGGATAATGAGTGGGCGTTTGTTTGAGCAGTTGTGTTTAAGTGCAATGAGGGTAGTACGGGGATAAACGCAGCGTAGTGTTAGAATTTGGCTAAATCAGACAAAGAACTTATTTACCATACGAGTGAAAACAACAGTGCAGAAAGCATTCGTAAACAGCACCATTTGTGCTCTTATTCTGTATATTCCTACAGTTTTATATTTTTTACATACATTTTACATTTATACATTTTTGCGAATGTGATTTCCTTCACAGTCATTATAATAATCCTTAGGTTATACTATCTAAGTCATTTCGGCAAAAATAACATCGCCATTCAAGGGATCTAAAAGAGGAGGCTTACGGTTCGTCTGCAAGAGAATAGCTCCACGTCTTTTCCATTGATGACTAGACTACAATGGACCTTCTCAAGACTCGTGACCACCGTCTTGCCACATGAAACAGTGCGAAAAGCTTTTTGGCAAAAAGCCTGATGCTTTTCGACGCTTTTACATGAGTCGCATCTAGGTTTTGAAGCGTCAGACGAAGAAATGAAGAAATGCTGATATCCACTTGAGTCATTCGATAGTTGAAGAGAATCACTTTCAGGGAACCAAATGAATCAACGGAGTTGTCCAACTACACTGCCCCATCACACAGCTCATTTGTGCAGCTAAGACATCTGGAAAGAGTGAATGTCCCAACCGATAATAAATTAACGGTAACAACCACAGCACGAGATAGTGCCGAGATAAAGAGAGTTAATATTTAAGCTCCGACCAAACCACATTCTTTGAAGAACACAAGAACTGTGACAACGACACCGTCTTCAACAAGTAGAAGGCTTGAGAAGTATTGAGATTGATTTAAAACCGTCTTCCTTGATAACGAATGGTAGTGCTGCTTTCGAGCTTTTCATTGTTAACCGGCTTCAATAAGTCAACGACAAGGCACCTTTATAACTTGCTTGGAGTTTTTTGTTTTTTCTTTTAGTTGAGGAGTGAACACATTAGGAATCGTTAAGGATAATCACAAGCCCTGCCATGATAAAGAACAGGTAGGAAATAAAGGTCCAAATAATATGCTTTCAATAAAACTGGCTTGTAGTTACTAAGTAAAGAAATTAAGCTTGGTTTAGTTCGAGCAATTCACATTCTATATCGTTAGCAACTTCCAAAAATTCAACGTTTTCACTGCTCAGCGTCGGCCGCAGTGTGGTGTTGACTCCGCACTGATAAGGCGAATAGCACCTCTCTCTTGAATACGATAAGAGTAAAGCTATTCTTTCGCTGTAGGACCTTTGCACGAGTGCAACAAAGGCAAAAGACTGCAACGATCAATACGTCGAAACAATTCTGTCGACTGTGGCTGGTCTAGGCCGTCATATTGTCACCGTTTTTGGATTCATCTTATTCCTGGAAAAGTTGAGTAGGTTTTCTCTCTGTAATGCAGTTTTTTTATCAAAATTTTGCAAAGCATTTCGAACACATAATTGCCAATATACTGAGGATACTGAATGTCATAGGAAGTTCAGAATCTTTTTTACAATTCGCGCGTGTCATAGCATGACTTTTGTTTCAATGGTTTTATTTCAAACAAACGTACACTGTTGGTAGGCTTGACTAGCTAGCAACCGATGTGAATGAGAGTGGAAGTTGCATGCCGTGATGGCGGTGATTTCTTGCGCACTCGACGTTTCTATGAATTTGAAGCCAAATGATATAGGACCCATCTTCAACACAAATAACTCTCCTAGGGGAATAAGTCAACAACGAAACCTTACTTTTGGACACTCAGAAACACGAAGGAGCGATAACCCATGGAAGGCCTAGAAACATCGTCCTACTAATCCTAGTCCCAAGGCTTTTAATTGATGAATATCGCTTATGAGTTAATGAGCTACCATTTACGAAAATTTGTTGCAGCTTACATTTGCGAGTTCTGATAAACTGTCAAAAAATGGTGTGCGGGCCAAAATGTATGGCGTTCATGATCTTCATGAGCATTTGGGGCACCATATTTTTGGTATGTTGTTTTTCACCTTCTTGATCCGTTTTTCTTTTGCAGAGGAGTTCTTCACTAACTGAGATGTTTCAGTCAATCGTCGGCGCTCTGTATTATAACGAATCTGTAGGCCTATTCGAAGATATGCCCAAAGGAGATCCGAAAAAATGTCACATTCGAGACTGGGAATGTCGCAAGAGGGAAATCATCGAGTAAAAGTCTTTACTTGTAGTTCCTTAATTTTATCCGGAAATATTTACGTCAACATGTGGATTTAACCACGTGTATGCATTTCTAAGCATGCACATACGAATGGCTCCATGTGTCTGGTCTGTCCAGATGCTGAAAACTGGCAGCGATCGTCGTTTTCGTGCTTTTATTAAGTAATGCTAATGCAGGGATATTCCATGGAATAGCAACATTACGCGAGATTGTGAGATTCCTTGGATTTCGTGTAAAACTCAAAGCATAAGAAACGTGCAGTAAATCCCAGGGCTAACTTTCTGTTAACGTCAGCATTGATTAACAACTCACGGTTTTTTTTTGAATGAGCAAACACAAGGTTGGTGTTACAGCATTTATTGACACACAATAGCTGACGTTTCGGTGGTTTCGCCTTCTTTAGAGCCTGGAAAAGTTAAATTGACATGCAATCTACTCCGCCAAACACTTTCCTAACCTTACCAAATAAAACTTTACACATAAATTTTTATTCGCATAACAAACAGGTTCTTTTAGGTATGCAAGTTAAAATACATACTTCGAAGCGCTACGAAACTGTAGCTCCTCGGGATAGGCGTAGAGAAGAAATCACGCCTCTAGACCATAATTTTGGCGAGGATGAGGTCTCGTTTTAATTTTAACGAGAATGAGGTCCCGTTTATCCTGCGCTTTATTTCTAACGAAAAAAGTGCAGTTATCAAAAGTTGCTGAAGAAGGCACGGTTTAGAAAATTCGGTGGTAGTGATCGAAACACTACCGGACACTCAAGGAGGCCAGCTAGTTTGTAACGCCTGTGTGAGCGTTTGTATACGACGAAAAATTGCATTATACGCCCCAGCGGTAGAGATGGTGACAGCAAGAGTTCGGATACGGTGAGTCTAATCTCTTATAAAGCATGTGAGACGAATACGTTGACGGATAGACCACTCTGCATCCGCTTAAAAGGACATCTTGTCGGTAAATTTAAATTGAAACCAAACACTCCACTAGGCGCGCATAAGACACAGAAACACAATGTAGGAGATTTTGAACTAAAAGTCACTATAGTAGCACAGGAATCGAAAGAAGGTGCTGGATTAATTCCAGAAATTCATGGAATGGACCGAACGGAAGAGTGTCTTGTGATCATACGTGACATCGCACCATACCTCGGGCTGATTCGATTACCTGACCCATGCACATTCCTCGCCCCTGTGTGTCTGCTCACCACGAACACCGGAAAACTTGCAATGAATAAAACTGTGGAAGATGCTGTTTATTATGCGAATGCAGTTTTATGTGTTATGTTTAAGGGCACGCAATTCGGCACTTTTTGGTTATGGTGCAGTGGTCCCAACCGTGTATATGAGTTGTTGATAATGATGAGTCGGCTCTTAGGTAGGGTAACCTAGACTTTACCTCGTTTTTTGTTGACTTAGCATTAGCTCTCTTTAAAACTCAGATGGGAAAATAACTACCATGTGACATCTTTCGGGAATTCTCTTTTATATCTTTATCTTTCTAAGTTGGTAGCACTATATTCCATAAAATGCTTTTACAACACAGGAAAACACATGTAGATGTGTTCTCGTGGGCACAGTTACAAATACAATAGAATGGACCACAGAACCTTTTAGCGCTGCTGGACGCACGGATATATAGTAGCTTGTTCTGCACATGACTGCGCAGATTTACCTCCATCACCCCTCGAGTCATTTTAGCACCATGTTTAGGTCTTCTTGCGCATAATGATTCAAGATGAACCAGCTTTCCTAGGTCAGAGAACGTGAGGTGAAAACTGCTCTGCCTGCCCTGTGATAAATTTGTCCGGTCACAGTATTCCTTTTAGAACGAAAACACAGTGAGTTAGCTGACAATCCCAGAGCGAAACACCATTATAATCCTATTCATCACGAAAGATGAAACACATTGTTGTTAAATAAAAAATGTTGCCATATGCGTAATTTTTGTGTATCACGGAATAACTTGGAATCTTCCCAAATCATCATAAGCGAAAAGCAATGAAACTTTTTTTGCAAATTAATAAATGAGGCCGTTTATAATATTATTATATTTCTGAAGTATCGGCTTCTTCCCATTCTAAACAATAGAAATAATGAGAAATACTAGACGATTTGCATTGCCATAATTACAGTAGGCCTAACATATTATTATATCTGAATAATTAAATGTTTGAATGGTTGATCTTTCCAAAGAATCATGTAACCCCAGAACCTGACTGTATTTGAATGGAAACTGTTCTCATCTGTTTGGGTAGAATTTTACTCCTTGATGTCTTAAGACAGTCATGCCAAAGCATTTCTGGATCGTCGTCTTTCACTAATGGAATTCGTCTACGCCTGCGGATCGGAGCGAGTTTTTCCGCTTCTCAAAAATGAGTCCTTCAGAACGGCAGGAATTGCTGGCGTTTATTTGCTACTACGTGGTCTTTCAGATGGTGAAATCCACATCTAAGGCTTCAAAGGGGCAATTCTTTCAATTTTTATCCAAATGTTTTTACTTTTACACTTATTACATGACCGACATTGCATTTATTACATTGTGCCAATGCCAGTACTTGCATTCGACTCATTTTCCCGCATCAAACATCTACCAAGATTCCCGAACGTTTTCGCATACTGGGCTGTTAGTTGAGAACTTTCGTCGTCGTAATCGCCGTTAAATACTGTTCGAATGGATTTCCTTTGGAGTTCTGGATGGCTGGGTAAGAGCGTCACCTCTTGGAATGCAGGAAGTGAAGTGTTCCCAGACAAGTCTTGTAACAATTTTCCAACTACGGAATGTTGAGAGTCTTGGTGGATCCTGTGTATTGTCGAACTAGCGCCAAAGTAAGTTGGGTTGTCCGTTTTCAATGAACGGGGTCACTATCACTGAGCAGTTCCTTCCCGTTCTCAAATTCAAATATTTGCGAGTGAGTAAGTCTGAGAGAAACAAACACAGTGCTTTAATTTAATTCTAGTAGTTGGTCATTTTTCCTATTTCACTCTGGTTTTTAACTGTCCATTGTTGATGATGTACACTGATTGTCTGGATATGTCATTGTTCTGTCATTATACTTCCACGTGATTTCTGTGCGGTTGGTCTCTACGTGACATACTTAGTGGAAACATAGAAAGCGGCTCTGAAGAAGGCGAAATCCGCCGAAACGTCAGCTTAATCGTGAACAAAGAATAGTAACACCTCGCGTTTGCTCAACAAAAATGCGAAGAAGATCACTTGAACAATGCCGAGGTTAATAGAAAGACTGTCGTGGCAAATCATTATATCTTTCTACTTCTGTTCAGCAAACACGACGTGCTCTTTTATTTCTTTATTTACGCACAAGCTGACGTTTCGGCGGATTTCGCCTTCCTCAGAGCCGCTTTCTATGAGTCTTCCACTGAGTATATCGCGCGAAGACCGACCGACCACAAATCGTTATCAACGGACAACCACTGTCAACAATAGTCGTTCTGTATAAAAGAGCATCACTGGGTGAGGTTGCTTCATTCGAGTGGTGCTCCACCGAAGAACATCCAACTTGATACAACGACCAAGACACCGCATCTAGAAGGCGAGGCGAACAACTGTGGACCATCGACTCGGGTCATCGTCTCTGATGAAGACGAAGGTGTCGAAACGTTGGCCGCGAAAATAATTGGTAACAATCTCGTGTTCGCTTATCAGTGAAGGAATACATGTCCATTGAGGATTATAAAGGAATAAGTTTAGTAGCCATGAACAAACTATGAAAAGGTTGTACCTGATTTAAACCATCTAAGATTAGACGCCCTTCGTTTTCGTAATGTCTTCATTTATTCATTTTTAACAAAATTTTACATTTTAAAGTGTTGCTTGTAACTTTGCTAATAAGTGCTTGACCTTGACGTCAATATCAACCATTATTTTGTGAGCAACTAATGTTATGATAATCTCAGAGCATTTCAACTCAGTGCCACAAAGAATTTATGGGATTCATTGGTGTGCATTAAAGATGATGATCTCATACAATCTAAAAATGAAAGAGAATGCAACTCAAAATTGACTGGATAGTAGGCAAAGTAATGTGATGGCTATTTCTTTTCCAGGTTATATCATCAGAACGCCTACAATTGTTGGGTAGCCGCTGGTGGTTATGTGGTGATAGCATTGCTGGCCGGTTTGCGACTCTGTTGCATCCGATGCATGGGATGATTCCGTAGCTCATACGAGCTCACAATTGTTTCTGTATGTGATTTACAAAAATAAAATAAACGACGCTCGTCTCACGTCATTAACTCCTTCAAGCCATTAGCATGCAAATTTATCTCAGAAGTATTTAATTTCTATGGATTTGTACAAAGGTTACGTAGCTCATTGTTGTTTTGACTGACTTTGAAGTGATTTTGTTGAGTGATTGACATCATAGAAGAAACTGTTTTACTTCCGCCTTGTATCTTTTTTGTTATCTCTGCGGATAAACTATAGCACAAACTTCTGTTAAAGAATTCTCTGCCACGAAAAAGGAACAGGCAACACATAGAAAGTTACGAATAACTTCTGTTGTCGCCTTTCCAACAAATACGCGTGAAAGCAAATTCAGTGAAATAAGCGTAAGCACTGACTTGTGCTTAAGCTAAGACTTACCCCTAGTCGTAAGGTTATGATTAAACTTAGGCTTATGATTAGGCTAGGCTCGGCCTCTAGTTCTTCAAATGATTCGAAACGTCTTCCATAGATATTGTGTACGGCATTCTATTAAATGGATCAGTGTAGGGCACAGTGTGACCTATTTTATTCGGAGATCGAAACTGAGAGATCTATAAAGAGTTAGTTAACCTAGGTCACAAAGAAGCTGTAAGAATTTGGCGATTACTGTATGAATAAGGAAATTCCTGCGTGTAGGTGTTACAGGATTAATCGTGACACATACTTCGAAGTCGTCCCCGTTATGTCTCTGGGTCCTATGCGTGCCTAGCGGGGTATTTGGTCTATTTT